GTGTGTGTGTGTGTGTGTGTGTGTGTGTGTGTGTGTGTGTGTGTGTGTGTGTGTGTGTGTGTGTGTGTGTGTGTGTGTGTGTGTGTGTGTTTTGCGGCATGCATGTGCTTCTGTCTGTCATTGCCACAGTGATATAGGCTCAGAGACTTTCTTTTGGTCTGGTAGGTTTCCAGTGTGCTAGATGAGAGTGGCATCAGTTTTTAACACCAGTCAAAAACGTTTTACAGCTCTGTGGGCTTGACATTTGGTTGTCTCAAAATCACAGATAGCACAGCAGAGCGAGCGCCTTTGTGATGTATAGTGGCCCCCCGCAGGTGGGTGAGGTGGTTGTACAGGCCGGAAATCAAGGGGAGGGAAAGATGGAGATGACAGAGGTGTTGTGGAAGAGAGGAGGTAGGGGCTCTCACCTTCAATAATCGATTCTTCCAGCAAGGCACTGTGTGCATGAAATCAAGGGGCCGGAAATCAAGGCGCGTGCGTGGCACTGTGCGCGCTGCGCTGTTGAGACATAACAGAGTTATAGCTTTTGCAACGCTTGGCAAGTTTTTTTGTTTTTTGTTTTTTTTTTCAACGCTTAGCAAGTTCGTAGAATGGAGCTTTGTCTTTTAGAAAAAGGCATTTTTTTTTTCCGGAAACGAGAACAAGTTTTTTCTTTGACGTCATCCTGACTGTTCGTTCCTTTTTTTAACCGTGCTCTCTCAGCAGTGTGCACCCATGAGGAAAGCAAGCGGGGAAGACACCCTCCCTCATTTTGCGAAGCCGGTGCTGTTTTTATTTTTTATTTTTGCGCCGTCTGTGTACGTAAGTACGTACGGCAACGTACACAACGTTTTTGCAAAGCTGGCGTTCCTTTCGTTCGTTCTTTTTACCTTTAGGGCGTAGTCACCTCAGCTCTATGTTAAATGTATTTACGACGTACCTGGACGTACCTGTGACCATAATCGCGTCCATTAAATTAGTAAAACAGTCCTAGTGCGAGTATGCCCTTCATCGTATCCTCTCTCTCTCTCTGGACATAGGTATTTTGATTTTGCTTTCTGTTGGTCATGATGAAAGCACACCTTGATCTATTGAATCTGTTCCCTTGAGAAAGAAATATGACACACTCCTCGTGAATAGTTAGTCATCCCTTGTGCGCACGGTCGCTCTGTTGTGCTTTTGCTATAAAGGAGACTAAGTGTCGTGCGTGCTGTATGAGTAGTGTGGTCCTTCGTCACACACGGGCACCATGGTTTTCCTGACGGAGACCGAGTGCCGTGCATGCTGGGTAGCGTGACGACTGCTGGCGGATTGGTTGTCAAATCTGTAGCATCCTTTATTTAGTGGAGGGGTTTATTGGAATATATGCCAGCAAACAGCCGTCTCGAGGGGAGGGGTTCATGCATGAAACCTGCCAGCACACAGCCGCAGGCAACTCGAGAAAATGGATGGCTCACTCCTAAAGTTTGGGAGGCTCAGGGCTACACAATGGCTGGCGGCGCCACCGAAAAACGAAAAAAAGTGCGTTGCTAGCGGTCGGGCAAAGCTTGGTGCTCAGTGCGAGTCCGGTACACTCGGGCGCACTTGTGGTTTAATGGCAAGGTCCAGGGACAGCCGTACGATGCCTGATATCTATGTTCCATGAGAGGTAGTTTGGCTGGCGGGCTTGCTGACTGGTGGGCTGGCTGGCTTGGCTGGCTTGGCTGGCTTGGCTGGCTGGCTTGGTAGTAAACAAATGGAGGAGCACTCTGTACTGTTGCTCAGTTCTACGCCTAGATGTGAACTACTAGACATAGGTCGCCTCACTTGCCGACTAGATCAGTCACCGTATAAGGTCCAGCGGCGGTGTTCCTCGAGTCTCGAAGACCTCTCGGGAGGATTGATGGTCTTTCCGCTGTTGTACTTGTGGCTTCCTCTTATGTTGATCGTCTCTCCGAGTGTGAATCTGGGAAGTGTGAATCTCTTCGCTTCTCTTCTTTGGCAAGATTGACGTTGGGTGGCGACGGGTAATGTTGCTGTTGTCCTTGTGGCTCGCTCGTTGTTTTGCAAGGAGGGGCACTGCTGCGGGAAGCATGTTGACGTTGGGTCAGGCCGAAAGCAGTACTTTGGCCGCCTCGCCATCCACTTGGAATCCGTTGGTCATGACAATCGAAGTGGCTACATGTTCTGCCTAAAATACCTGCATGTCTGCCGTCTTCAGCCGTTGGATTTGCTGAGCTCCACCACGGGACTTCTCGCTCGAGATGTGTCCATCTCCCCAAGTCACACACGACGGTGCTGGCAGATGAAATCGACCTGAAGATGCTCTGCACGGGAACATAACAGATTACCTGTGGTGGGTGACAAGGCCATGGTTGATATCTATACCTTAACTTTGTTCTATGTAAGCGGTGGACCTGTGGTTTGGTTCTGCGTGCAATGGATCGTTCCGGCCTTGAGGAGTGTTTTGGTTACGATGCATTTTGCAAATCGTGTTGGACGCAGAGGAAAGGAAAGGAACGATGAAGGAAATAGACCTGTATGCATCCCTCGAACTATAACAGCAATGCGACCGCGAAAGCGAGCATAGCGCGGTGACCGAGGAGCGAAATGTGAGCTGCCATGCTTGTCAACAAGAGGTGTGGACGCTTGCAAGACTGTAGGGATCTTCTCGTTTCCACCGTCTGTTTTTCTGTGCATTTAGCTGCACTCGGTAGGAAACAGCTGAGCTGGAAAGAGCTGAGCCGGCGAGGAAGGAACAGTAGCTGAGCCGGCGAGGAAGGAACAGTAATTGTGCGGCACAGGGAAGATGTAATTGTGTTGGCAAGTTGGCAACACAAATTGTAAAGCAGCGTCCTGTGTTTCGTATTCATTTAGAATAGGCGGCGGCCATCCTATGTGATCAAGAGGTGTGGATTCACACGCAGACAGCGAGTATTTTCTCCTCCTTTGAACTGCCGGCTTTCTGTGCGTGCATGCGTGTCGTATTCATTTAGAATGGGGTGAGAGGAGGCGGCCATCCCCTTTGTCGACAAGAGGTGTGTGGATTCACGGCACAGACAGCAAGTATTTTCTCCTTCGAACTGCCGGCGGCTTTTCTGTGCGCACAGTTGGAAAGAGCTGGAGCCGAAAAGAGAGAGAGCCGGCAAGGAAGGAAGTGTAAATGTGTAAATGCCGAGGGAAGCTGTAATTGTATGGCAAGAGGAACTGCAAAGCAGTGTCCGGCGTTTCGTTTCGTATTCAGGTGAGAAGAGGCAAAGCGCCAGCGGAAAAGCCGATGGTTGGTTAAGGAGCCGGCAGTGGATGTGAGACATGAATCTATGGTAGTACAAGCAACCGAGGGAAAGGTCTTGTCTGTAACTGCAAGGGAAGCTGGGAACAAACAAACATGGCGGGGCTTCTTGCCCAGGGGAGGACAGATGACGCGAAGGTGTCGTCAAGAATGGAGAAGGTCGGAGTGGTGCAATGGTGAGCAGAAGCTGTTGCTCAGGCTGTGACACCAACCACAAAACTGACTCTCTTTTTTTGAAAATTTTCCTCTTTTTCCTTCTTGTCAACCGCAAAACTGATTCTTAAACAGCAGCGGGGAGTGAAGATGGGGAGGGGAGTGTTGCGAGGCCTGCTGCACAGGCAAGGATGCAGATGATGGAAGGAACGTGGGCCTCACTCGTCTACTGAACACTGTCTCAAGTATTTGGACTGAAGTCGGACCAGATGCATTTGGATGGATCCAACTTCTTGAACGTATTGAGACCATTACCAGCTCCACGTACGTGCGGTGGGTATATCTTGGAAAGTGGGGAAGTCGAGCGCACAACGCAGGCAATCGTGCTAATTCCGTTTCCAAGTACAAAACACTGAAAACAGTGTATTCAACGATCAGAAATTTGTGCGGTCGAGAGCGCGAACGCAGGCAATCTTTGCTCATTCTATTGCCTTAGGCTAATTCTGTTGCCTTAGCCTAGTACAAAAGTGTATTGAACAATCGGAAAGTTGTGCAGCGGAGCGAGGCCCGGTACTTCTTCTCCGAAAGTGGCGAAGTTGGGCGTGAATGTCCGCAATCGTGCTAATTATGTTGCCAAGTACAAAAAAAAAAAACAGTTTACTCAACAGTGCCAACACTGAGGGAGAGAACGCAGGGGAGGGGGTGTGCAAAGCAAGTCGGACAGGTAAGGATGGATGGATACAGATGGTGCATGTAGGGGAATGGTTTCTGGAAAAGAAGTTGGCAAGTTGGGAAGTTGGGAGCGAATGTGCGTGGCCGGAGGATGTATGGCATTCAGAAAAAATACAAATTGCAAGATTGTGCATTGAACGGTGAGGGGAGGCTGGAAGCAAAAACATCCGCCCTTTTTTGTGAATCGTCAGGTCGTCAGGCAATGATTGGTAAAAACCGCTCTGCTCGTTGCCCCTACCGAAACTTGCGGCGGCGTATGTGGACCTTGCTCTTCGGATGGAGATTGGACTCGCGGGACTGCTCTTATTTGTCCGGGAGATGGATGATGAGCACCAGGCTTAGTAGGCTCAACAAAACGAAATAGGGTTACGACACCGGTTGCCTGGCTGGTTTGTCCCTAAGGGGGTTACTACCTCCATGGGTAAGTTCCAGGTGTGGGATGTTGCGGGGGGGTGGGGGGGGTTGGGGGGAGAGGGGGTATTATGACTGCACAGGCCCTGCTGGTTATTAAGGTGAGGGCTTCTGAGGAGGAGTGAAGGCTCAGGCATGGCAAGTTGCGGCGGCGCTGATAGGTCGATGAATGCGATGAGGTCTGTTTTTTTTTGAAAAAGCTAGTGAAAGAAGAAGTCTCGAGTGGCTGCTGTGTGGAAATAGCAGCGACATGGTCGAGCAGCTCGTGCACGGCAGCAGCTTGAGCAGTCGGGAGCTCGTGAACGGCAGCAGCTCGAGGAGTTGGCTCAGGCATGGCGAGCGGCGCCGCTGATAGGTCGATGAATGCGATGAGGTCTGTTTTAAAAAAAAAAAAAGAAGTGTCGAGTGGCTGCTGTGCGGAAATAGCTGCGACATGGTCGAGCAGCTCGTGAACGGCAGCAGCTTGAGCAGTCAGGAGCTCGTGGATGGCAATGAGCAGCGCTCATGAACGGAAGCACCTCGAGCAGTCAGGATCTCGTGGACGGCAAGTGGCTTAACCATGGTGGGGACGAGGGGTGTGTTGCTCGACACTGCTCATCACATGCACAAAAGACGAAAAATGTGGAGGTGCATCTTCCTGTGTTCTAGCGAAAGACTCGTTCTCATTTTTTGCACATGTAGTGAGTAGTGGAGCGCGAGGCCCAAGGAGCGAGTGCCTGCACAGAAGATTGCAATGATGAGATATATTGCAAAGTGGAGGTATGACGGAAGATTCTTTGTTGAAATTTTTATGTTGTTTTCAGACCTGTTCTACTTCACTTTTGGGTTTTTTATGACGGTTTTGTCAGCAAAAGGGGCTTCGCTCCGCTACTCACCGTGCGACATGTATTTGGACAGCGATTTCCTTGCTAGTGACATTCTGACGGATAGGTGGTTTTGAATGTGTTGTGACCACCATCATGTCCAGATACATGTAGAATGTTGTGCAGTGAAGCGACGCCCATGAACCGGGGGGGGGGGGGGAGCAATGCAGCTTCGGCATCCCCACACCGTTGTTCGGTTTGCGCCTCGCGCTCCCCGGACTCTCTCCGACCTGAGTCGTGGTTCTTGTTCTCTTCGTGGAATGCTCTCTAAAGTTTCTGCAATGGCAAGATCCCATGGTTCATTTTATGTGTGCCTAGCATTTGCTATTATGATGCGATTGATATCAATATCAATCGAAAGCTCTCCTTTTTTTTGTGCGTGGCTAGCGTTTGCTATTTTGTGATGTGGAACGGTCTGTTTGCCGCCGTTGTAATGTAGAGATGTGATGAAAACTGTCTCACTTGAGTTTGTGGTTCTCGTTCCCTTCGCTGAATGTTTCTCCTACGGCATTGGCAAAGCTCCACCCGCCCGTGCTTGCGTGGCCAGAACTTGCTATTGTGTAGCTAGCATTTGCTGTTATGGTGTGATTGATATAGAAACGAAACCTCTCCGTCTCCCCTTGAGGAATGGTTTGTTCGTCTTTGTCCCAAAAAAAAAAAAAAAAAAAAAAAAAAAAACAGGGACAATGTGTTTTTGCCATTGTTGTAATTCTAGTGAATTTGAAAGTTGAGAGTGGTTTGTGTGCGCTCTTCGGTGCCAGATGTGTTATATCATATATGTGGAGCGGACAGCTTTTTATCGCAGGGTTGGTCTGTTCTCTGTCCTGGACTTATGCTCCTGCCGGAACTGCGATGTCAGGCGCTGCAGACCACATTACAAAGTGCTGTTTGTCAATCATCAAATGATGAAGAGAGATGGCCTTCTTTCTGATACTGAACAAAAGGAAAGGAAAAAAAAAAAAAAGAAAAAAAAAAAAAAAAGAAAGGAAATGTTCTTGATTGAAGTTGATTCTGGTATTGAGAAATCGAGTGCTGTTTTTTCTGTTTCCAGGTTGACATGAATGGATCTTACATCTGTTGGGAATGCCTCGCCCCTCCCTCCCCCCTCCTCCGCCCCCCCCTAAAAAAATGGCAAATGCGGAACTTGTGTCTAATTTCCATCAAAAACCGACTGGACAAGTCAGTGTGTAGTAGTATGAGAGAACATCTGGAGATAACGACGTAGACGAAGATGAACACTTTGAAGAAGCCATGGCTGCCAGCAAGATTCCTGTCAAGTTTTTTTTCAACAAGGGTATCAGTTTTTTTTGTTTTTTTTTTCAGTTTTGTTTTTAACAAGGGTAATCAGATATATGAACTCCTGTGGCAATCTATGAAGATGAACACTTTGAAGAAGCCATGGCTACCAGCAAGTTTTTTTTCAACAAGAGTATCAGTTTTTTTTGTTTTGTTTTTTTTCCGGTTTTGTTTTTAACAAGGGTAATCAGATATTTGAACTCCTGCGGCAATCTATGATGTACTCTTTGCGCCTTTGCGCGTAGTTTCTCAAGTGTATGTGGTTGGGAAAAAAAAAAGAAAAAAAAAAAGGAGTGTGTGATGCGACATTGCCGAGGCTTGCTTATGTCCTCTTTGCACGTAGTTTTTCTTGAAAGGGTTTGACACTCGTTGACTAAAGGGTTGCGAAGTGTACGAAAGTTTTTGTCTATCGAGTCCGCTTGAGCACGTTAAGTGCTCAGTTGTGCGCAAACGTTGGGGGGGGGAGGGGAGCGTTCAAACGCTTTTTCGCGCTGCCAGGCGCAAAAAAATTAACCTTGTCTGGCGAGGGGTTGTGCGACGTCCTGGCTCTACTCGTACTCTCTCTCTCTCTCTCTCTCTCTCTCTCTCTCTCTCTCTCTCTCTCTCTCTCTCTCTCNCTCTCTCTCTCTCTCTCTCTCTCTCTCTCTCTCTCTCTCTCTCTCTCTCTCTCTCTGTGTGTCTGTCTGTGCACCCCCTCAGCTCTCTCCCCCCCTCCCTGATTCCATGTCGAGCGCTTGACGGAAGCGCTCATGGCGCGGTTCCATGGACCCTGCGCACAATGAGCGTGTGGCAAGTACCTGGTCCAGAAAGAGACCAAATGCATGTATGTATGGAGCGACGCCTATTCTTCAACCTCTGAGCCGCGGCATTTTTTCTCCATGCCAATTTTTTTAAAAAGGGCTGGCGAAAGCGCAATTGTTTTTTGTTTGTTGCTTTTGCCTGGTGCTGTTAGTCGGCAGCAATTTTAGTCGAGTCGATCCAAAATGCCTTTCTTGTTTTTTGAAGTTTTTGTGAAGTTTTGTGAAGTTTTGTGAAGTTTTGTGAAGTTTTTTTAAGTTTTTTGAAGTTTAAAGTTTTTTCCCTTTTTGAAACATGCGTAGTTTTACGTGCCCCTCTGTTGTTCGCAACCACGACTTCGTTCATCCACTGCATTGCGGCCGACCTTGTCATTTTCCTGTTTTTCTTTTTTTTTCGTCTGCTTTAGATGTGGTTCCATCATCCTACAAGCTTCCACTAGCTTCGATTTGTGACCGTAGAGGAAGCCGGCAAGATATCGTCCAGCAATATGACGTAATCCAGCATTGAAAAAAGACAGTTCATCCTGCTGCTTGCCTAGTGTCTTGACCTGAATAGAGCGGCTAGTTATTTAAAAATTTTGAACTTATTTTAAGTTATTTAAGTTATTTTTATCTGTAGTTGTTTTTTGGGGCGAATTTCAGTCCAGGTTATATTTTATAAGCAAATAATGAATGATTGGCCAGGTGGGTCCGATTCGGGTATTGTTATCTCACAGCTGTAGTTGTTTGTTTGTTTTGTTTTGTTTTGTTTTGTTTTGTTTTGTATTGTTTTGTTTTGTTTTGTTTTGTTTTGCTTTGTTTTGTTTAGGCAGCTCTCACCTTAGGGCAGCACACATGTATAAAGTACTATAAACTGTTCATGATTTTTTTTTGATTTTTTTTTTTCAAAGCTAAACCTATATTCTTCTTTCAATTTCACTTTTCACTACCTACCTACCACTACTCCTATAAGCCTCTGTACAGGGAACCCCTGCAAGCATAGCTGCCTGAGCCTGCCTCTCACAATTAAGGGAGGGGATTGCCGAGGCAGAAAAGAACTGCATGATGCCATGCCAAGCTTTGCTGAAGTGCCAGCGCAGCGTTTTTTTCTGATTTTTTTTAATTTTATTTTTATTTTTTTTTCGGCGCCAACAACCAGCCACTGAGTCCGTTAACGCTCCTCATCTGAAAGTCGTGGAATGTGGCATTTTGGTGTGTTTTTTCCTTTTTATTTTGTCCATTTTGGTGTTTCGACAGTGCCTGGGAAAGGTGATATTGGTCTCGAAACATGAAAAAGAAGCGAAGGATTGTCCTGATACATGTAGTGGAGCTGCATGGCCAAGGGGAACTTCACAGTGGATTTTGAGAGCATATTTTGATGTGACGATAAGGTGTCGAGGAGTGAGCTGGCAAAACCCAGAGCGTGGTAATGAGCAGGTGCCTTCTCCAGCTTCCGCCAACACAATCTCCAAGGTGGTGTGGGCAGTGTCCCGACGAGCGGAGCTGACGCGTGCTCGACACCGTCATCATCCGAGGGCGAGTACCGTGTCAAGCAAGGCCGAATGAAAATTGAAAGGGGTTCACCAGAAGGGGAGAAGAGTTCTTTTTTTTTTTTTTTGGGTTGGGGGGGGGGGGGGAGAATGGGGGGGTTGCAGAATGCAGGATTGCCATCCACAACCTGCAAATATACGCGGAGCAGTCCTTTTGACATGTGGAAGAGCATCGAATACTCTTGGGGCAGTGTGCTAGCCGCGTGCTGCTCTCCTGCTCCTCCACCTTTGCCATTCTCTGTACTTGTTAGCTACTACACGGGAGTATGCTGCATGCTTTTTTTTCTGTGATTGAACCCCGGCGTACCCGTGCTATGTCAAGAGGGTGAACAGCAGGCAGCCTTTGCTACTGTCTACGGTGATGATGCTGTTCGCTTGTTTGCGGCGAAAAAAAGAGTCAGCGACGTAGTGTGTTCTTCTGAAAGCATGGTGGTCTCTGATCGTTAGTGTTGTGTGAAAAAACTGCACAACTC